ACCTGCTCACCTGCCTGTCTTCCTGATTGCCCCTAACCACTTCTGCCTGCCAGTCTGATCACTCCTTAACCCAGTGGTCAGCAAATTGCAGCTCTTTGGCCCCTTGAGTTTGGCTCTTCCACAAAATACCACATGCAGGTGTGCACATTCAGTGCGATTGAAACTTAGTGGCCCATGCGCAGAAGTAGGTTTTCGGCCTGGGCGAGTCTATTTTGAAGAAGTGGTTATAATGCCAAGCCACTCAAGGGACCAAAGAGCCGAATGTGGCTCGCAAACCACAGTTTGCCATCCACTGCCCTAACCACTCCCCTGCCAGCCTGATTGCCCCTAACTGCCCTCCCCTGCAGACTTGGTCATACCTAAGTGCTCTCTCCTGCAGGCCTTGGTTCCCCGCAACTGCCCTTCCCTGCAGCCCCCAACTTCCCTCCTCTGACAGCCTGCTCACCCCTAACGGCTCTCCCCTTCAGGCTTATCCCCCCCCAACCGTCCTCCACTGCAGGCCACATAGGGTGAGCCATTTTGTGTGTTGGAGTGATAGTCAATTTGCATATTACATTTTTATTAGATAGAATAAGTGTTCAGAATATTTCCTTTATAAATGTTTTGCATGTTTTATACAAATATTTAAAATTTGATATTTAAAAAATTTTAATTTTCTTTATTTTTATTTTTTTAGAATTTGTATTTAAGTTGAAATATTTTAAATTTTTCTTGTTTTTTCAATTGATTTATATAATCTCAGAGATTACTATCTTTTTTCTAATTGTTTTTCAATTAGTGAGCATACTCAAGAATTTTTATTATGCTGGTAAATAAAATAAAAAAGAACCATTATTTAGATATTCCTTTTTAAAAATATATATATATTTTATTATTATTTTTTAAAAATATATTTACAGAGAGGAAGAGAGAGGGATAGAAAGCCAGAAACATGGATGAGAGAGAAGCATCGATCAGCTGCCTCCTGCACATCTCCCTTTGGGGATGTGCCTGCAACCAAGGCACATGCCCTTGATCGGAATCTAACCCAGGACCTTTTAGTCCGGAGGCCGGCGCTCTGTCCACTGAGCCAAACTGGTTTCGGCTAGATGATCCTTTTTAAAAAAGTGGATTTCTGTGTTAGAATCTTTGTTTCTTCTATTTTCTGTGTCTTATTATTATTTATGAAAAAAAATTCTACATTTTAGAATATGTTGCCAAGTAGGGATATTCCTCTGGGAAATGAGACTTTTGTTCTTTAGGCTAGCTTTATTTATTTATTTATTTACTTACTTATTTATTTTTATTGATTTCAGAGAGAAAGGGAGAACGAGATAGAAACATCAATGATGAGAGAATCATTGATCAGCTGCCTCCTGCTCACCCCACACGGGTCGAGCCTGCAAACTGGGCACATGCCCCTACCAGGAATCGAACGATGACCTCTTCCTGGTTCATAGGTCGACACTCAGCCTCTGAGTCACACCGGCCGGGCTAGGCTAGCTTCTTAGAAGCAGTCTCGTAGTACATATCTTGGAAATCCTATATTTGAAATATTAACATTAATTGGGAAGAACAAGAAATCTGATTCATGTAAGGTTGATAATGCTTATTTCAAATACCCTTTTAGAAATTCCACATACTCGGTATGTGCCTATGATTAAGCAAAACAGAAATAACAATTTAGGAAGCTATATATAAGGATCTTAATGTCAGGATTTTTTCTTTATACCTTGTGGGTTCATTATGTCTTGGATGAATTTAAACTCACAAAATCTCAGTCAGGTTTGTAGTGTGGGTTTGTTGTTGTGTGATTTGTTAAATGTGATTGTTATTCCTGACTGAGTCAAGAAATTGTGGATTCCAGCTTTAAAATGGCATTTTAAATTTCTTGTTTGATTTTAATACATGTTTCTCCAAATGAATCTTAGATTGTTTGACTTCTCCAGAATCTCAGTGAGGTTTGGATGGAAGCTACATTTATGTGGAATCACACTATTGCCACTGGCAGTTCAGGAAAAGGGTGCCCGTCAGTAGGTGGAGTAGATTGCTTCTAGCATAGGCTCTGTGACTTGTAATGTTTTTACCTTTTTGCTTTTTATTGCTTTTGTGTGGTTAATCCTCAACTGAGGATGTTTTTCCCATTGCTTTTTGGAGAAAGTGGAAGGGAGGGTTAGGGGAAGAAGGAGAAATATCAGTGTGAGAGGGACACATTGTCTGGTCGCCTCCTCCTGCACCCCATCCAGGGGTGGGATCAAACCTGCAACCCAGGCACGGGCCCTTGACTGAGGATGGAGCTCACGACCCTTCTGTGCCAGCTGCCGCTTTAGCCACCGAGCCACTGGCCAGGGCCTTTTCGCTCTTTTTTGTTTTTTCTATTTTAATGTGATCTTTTCCCGTTGTGTCTCCTAAGTGGCAGTGCAGATATGTAGGAAAGCTCTTGATTTTTCTTTATTAGCCAAATGTGTAAACTTAGTTCCAAAAGTTACTCTCTTAGTTAATACATTGCAACCATCTTGTAGAACTGGTGAATTGACCTCTAATTTTACCTTTAATATATTAAAAAAAATTATTATTATTATTATTTGCTTATTTTTTTAAGCTCTTTTCACTTATGGATATGAAACCTCCCATCTCTCGAGCCAAGATGATTCTCATCACAAAAGCTGCTATTAAAGCCATTAAGGTAAGAGTAAAATTAACATTTAATTTGAAAAATGTCTGAAATTTTGCAGTTTATTAAACATGAGAATTCATCTTGTGAATTGACTCAGGCCTGAAGCAGAGAGCACGCACCAGCTGTTGCTGAGGGTGCAGGCAGTTGTGCGGTGTGTTTGCATTGTAATGCTGTTTCAAACAGCTCTCCCTTTTGTTTTACTAGCATTTCCCTAGTATATTTCCCGTTTTGTTGAGGTGTAATTAAATAAGAATTACAAGTATTTAACAGCAGGCAGTAAAGCATGATGATTGGTAAGCCGCGTTGTTTAACGCCGGAGCGCCTGGCTCCTCAGCTGGCCCGTGTGCCCGCGCGCCTGAAAAACGTGACATCCCAGAAGTAGAGGGCGGAATGCACACATTTTTTATATTTCGTTTCATCTTGTCGTTAATCAGCTGAGTATTAGCGTCATTTTTATTTTAAAACAAAAACTTGGGCTCAACGAAATTAAGTTTCTTACCCAAGATCACACCTAATTTTAGAAACTGCATATTTTAGTTCCAGTTCCATTGTTCTCTGCTCTCTCATAAAGTTGCCTTGATATGCTCCTTTGTGAAGGGTTATTGATTTAAAAACCTAAGGAAAAGCCTTCTCTTTGGGGTTGGAGGGTTGTAGGTGTTTTTTTTTGTTTTTTGTTTTTTTTTAATATATTTTACTGATTTTTTACAGAGAGGAAGGGAGACGGAGAGAGAGAGTTAGAAACGTCGATAAGAGAGAAACATCGACCAGCTGCCTCTTGCACACCCTCCACTGGGGATGTGCCCGTTACCAATGTACATGCCCTTGACCTGGGACCTTTCAGTCCGCAGACCGATGCTCTACCGCTGAGCCAAACCGGTTTCGGCTGGAGGGTTGTAGTTTTGTGCTTTAGTTAATTTCTGTTTCAGTCATCGGCTAGATTATTTCTTATGGTTTATTCAGTATAATCTTTTTGTTGTTAGTTTATTAGATTCCACATAAAAGTAAAATCATATACATGGTGTTTATACCTTGAGAATTATTTAAATAATGCAAATTTCAAGGTTTTAAGTATCTTCTAATTACATTGCAGGAAATGTAGAAATATGTAAACTGGAAAATAATTTTCTTTTCATTCTTTTCAGCTTTATAAGCATGTAGTTCAAATAGTAGAAAAGTTCATCAAAAAGGTAACTATCCGTTTTCTTATTACCTCATTTCAGTTATGCTCAGCATCTGTAATTGCTTGTTAAGTTGTCATTGGGACGCTTGCTTGTAAAGCCACTGCGCAAAAAGCTGTTGCTGCAGGTTCTTTGCACCTCTACCGGGGGTTTTTATTTTTTATTATTTTTTTTTAAAATATATTTTATTGATTTTTCACGGAGAGGAAGAGTGAGGGATAGAGTTAGAAACATCGATGAGAGAGAGTCATCGATCAGCTGCCTCTTGCACACCCCCTACCGGGGATGTGCCCGCAACCAAGGTACATGCCCTTGCCCGGAATCGAACCCGGGACCCTTCAGTCCGCCGGCCGACGCTCTATCCACTGAGCCAGACCGTCCCGGCTATCGGAGGGTTTTAAAGAAAGACGCACTTAGAGCAGCGCTGCTGGCTGAGCACCAGCTTGGAGCGGCGTCGCCAGCAGCTCCCTGCGCCCGAGCCTCGTGCTCTGCCTTTGCCCTGGTCCTCGGGCATTTAACTCCGCCGGGCGCCTTTCAGATGGAAGTACAGCTCCCCCCGCTCCCCCCACATCACATGTTCTTCAGTTACAGTGCTGGAGTGTGTCTCCGCAGAGTCCTGAGAAGGGGACTGAGGCATCTGTCTTCTCCCCGACCGGGGCTGTGCGTGTGGTGCGCCCGTAAGCGTGGTGGCCTGTGAATACCGGCTGAGAGATGGAGTAGCAAATCACAGGACCGATAAGCACGTGGGGGAGCTTACAGGCCCTGCAGGCACCACCACACCCGCTGGGCACGGTGCCAGGTTTGGACCGGCTCCTGGTTTTTACGAACAAGGACACCAATGAGAGGGAAAGGGACACGCGCTGACAGGTGGCCGCTGCCCCGGGCTTGTCGGCGTCGGCAGCGTGCTCTGTTGCGCGGTTGTTCCCGCCACTTGCTCAGCCGCTGCCTGAGGGGACAATGCACTCCACGCCTGGCTGGGAAACATCAGAGCCTCGTCACGGTTTTCTGAGGGTACATCTCTAGGCGTAGAATTGTGGGGTTAAATGCGGCCTTGCTTTTATTGCAAATCACCTTCCATAAGGTTATACCCCTGAAATGTATGTAGGTATCTGTTTCTCTATTATTTTTTCCATTTCATAGGCCGAAAACCTTTTTTTTTTTTTTTCCTGGTTCTGTACTGGAACAGAATTAAATGGATACATTGTTAAAATTACCTTTGCGCAATTTTATTGATTTTTTTTTTTGTACAGAGAGGAAGGGAGAGAGATAGAGAGTTAGAAACATCATTGAGAGTCATCGATCAGCTGCCTCTTGCACACCCCTACTGGGGATATGCCCGCAACCAAGGTACATGCCCTTGACTGGAATCGAACCTGGGGCCCTTCAGTCCCCAAGCCAACGCTCTATACATTGAGCCAAACCGGTCCCGGCTACTTTTGCGCAATTTTAAAGGTAAAATTTATTTTTTGAGCAGGATGAATTGGATTTGTGTGGAATTGGTGGAGGGCTTGGTGAACTAATGATGATCTGGAAAGCTGTTGTGGGAGGTAGGGCATGAGAGAAAAATAAGGTACAGGGTCTGAAGTACCAAGAAAATAGCAGCTCTGTAAAGACTGGGCATTTGACAAGCTGATGTGAAGACAGCTAACCATGCAAGGAGTTTCTCAATAGAAAGAAACACTTGTATACAGAGTTTCATTGACGGGAGGTTGATGGGTGTCGAATTGCTTTCTTGTATTGACTTTACATCTTTATCTTTGTAGTGTAAACCAGAATACAAGGTTCCAGGGTTATATGTAATCGACTCAATCGTCCGACAGTCTCGTCATCAGTTTGGAACTGATAAAGATGTTTTTGGGCCAAGATTCTCTAAAAACATAACCGCCACATTCCAGTATTTATATCTGTGTCCATCGGAAGATAAGGTATAGTCAATATAGTTAATTTTTACATTAAAACTTTTGTTTTCATTTATATTTAATTTGAATCTAGATCAACTTAAATGTATTGTATTTTAGATATTTGAAGCCTACTGTAGTATTCGAAAGAAATCATCGTAATCTCTCAACTTGAAACAAAACCCAGTTTTTTCTGTAGTTTTTTTTCTCATTTATTTTTCTTGTAAAATCCTTTAGGAAAGTCATACTGTTGAAATATGGAAGCACCATTGTGGTTTTGCTTGCTTTTATTGATTTCAGAGAGAAAGGGAAAAGGCGAGAGATGGAAACATCAATGATGAGAGAGAATCATTGATTGGCTGCCTCCTGCACACCCCCCTATTGGGGATCGAGCCCACAACCCAGGCATGTGCCCTGACCTGGAATTGAACCGGGATGGTTTATAGGTTGATGCTCAATCACAGAGCCACACTGACCAGGCAGGACCATTGGGTTTTATTTGTTTGTTTTGTTTTTTGTATTTTTTATTGATTTTTACAGAGAGGAAGGGAGAGGGATAGAGAGTTAGAAACATCAATCAGCTGCCTCCTGCATACCTCCCACTGGGGATGTGCCCGCAACCAAGGTACATGCCCTTGACCGGAATCGAACCTGGGACCTTTCAGTCCACAGACCGACGCTCTATCCACTGAGCCAAACCGGCCAGGGCAGGACCATTGTGTTTTAAAGAAGGTGATGTTGGAAAGATTCACTTGTAGCTGAGTGATCAGGACATTCTGGTAGGGAAAGGCACGCTCATCGCAGATGCTGTGCGTTCCGGAAGGAAGTGGGGGGCAGTAGTGGTTGCCCCTGCCTGGCACTCGGGTGCGGGAGCAGCAGTGACATTGGTTAGCAGTCAGACGCAGTGTAGCTTCCGCATGGTGTGGCTGAGTCACCAGGCAGGGGTCCAGGGGCGGGAGCCTGTGGAGAGGAATGAAGAATGGAGACCTGACAGGAGACAGTGTTGTGGTTCTGGGTTCATAGTGGAGGCAAGGACACACGAGGAAAAGCAGAGCCTCAGTCCTTGAGGAGATGAGAGTGTCACCCCAAGGCACACCTTCACGCTCACCTGTGCACACACTGCTGGCCCCGCAGTTGCTGGTCAGTTTCCTAACGCTCGCAGGTGTTAGAATCATCCTAAATAAGGGCTTCGGTTGTCATGTTTTTGTGCATGGGGTTTCTTTTTAACCATAGATACAGTATGAGCATTCTAAATCCACCTCTCTATTATTAAATGGTTTCTTTTGATTCTGTAGGTTATATTATTTTTCTGTTTCCTTTTTTCCCTTCTCTGTTTCTTATTGTAGGTTACACTGCTGATGAAAGGCTTGTTAGCTTAACGAGGCTATGATTCTGACAACAGATTTTATTTTCCTAGGTCCTAGCCAGTTTGTCTCAGCGGATAGAGCATTGGCCTGCGGATTGAAGGGTCCCAGGTTCGATTCTGGTCAAGGGCACAGGCCTGGGTTGGAGGCTTGATCCCCAGTGTGGGGTGTGCAGGAGGGAGCCCAGCAGTGGTTCTCTGTCGTCATTGATGTTTCTATCTCTCTCCTTTTCTCTTTCTGTCTGAAATCAATAAAAATAGCCGGGACTGGTTTGGCTCAGTGGATAGAGCGTCAGCCTGCGGACTGAAGGGTCCCGGGTTCGATTCTGGTCAAGGGCATGTACTGTGGTTGCGGGCACATCCCCAGTGGGGGGTGTGCAGGAGGCAGCTCATCGATGATTCTCTCTCATTGATGTTTCTAACTCTCTATCCCTCTCTCTTCCTCTCTGTGAAAAATTAATAAAAATATATTTATAAATAAAAATGAAATCAATAAAAATATAAAAGCACACACACAAAACTGTTTAGTATTGAAAAATCGACTTAAGGTTTATTGTTTTACTCTCTTTTTTGGGTAAGGTGTAATAAGTTATGTATGCAAATATTAATTGTGTATGCATGTTTCCTCACACATAACAGAGTAAAATAGTTCGTGTGCTGAACCTTTGGCAAAAAAACGGAGTATTCAAAATAGAAATTATCCAGCCCCTTCTGGACATGGCCGCAGGCAGCAGCAGCACCGTGCTGGGCGCAGACAGCGTCGCCAACAACGAAGGTGAGGCGGGCTCTGAGCTGTGGTGGCGGCTTCTGCTTGTGGCGGGGGTCTGGTCACGCTGCGGACGCCCTCGTGGGAGGACGGCTTCTTCCCACGACCGTTCGGACGGGGGAGGCGGCCCTTCCCGGCCCGTCCCCGCATCCACTCCCGCAGCGCTGTCTCTCCTTTTTCTGCGAACTGAACGGACGCTGTTCAGTGCAGAAGCTTAGCAGAGGGTGAAGCAGTGGGCAGGTTCAATGTTCTTGGCCTTCATGAGCTCCTCTCGTGCAGGTTCACCGCCGCCTCCAGTTAAAGTTTCTTCCGAGCCGCCCCTGGTCACTGCGAACTCTGTGCCCTCCGTGCAGCAGCTGCCCAGCTCGGACGCTTTTGCTGCTGTGGCCCAGCTGTTTCAGACGACCCAAGGGCAACAGGTAAGGGACCGAGAGGAAGTGTTTGCCGCTGGGGCCTGGGGGTCCTTGTTTCTGTTCCTGACAAGGAGCACATGCGAGGGAGGACAGGGTGCTCTCCAGCTAGAAAAGCCTGACTGGATGGACGGATGGATGGTTGCGCGGGAGGGTGGGGTGTGGAGGGTGAGCTGGGCACACAGAGCAGCAGTGCCCTGGAGGAGGAGGAGCTGCGGACGCTCCGCGGCCCGTGCTGCTCACCCCTGTGACGTCATCTCACCCCTGTGACGTCATCTCACCCCGGTGACGTCATCTCACCCCTGCGACGTCCGCTCACCCCTGTGATGTCATCTCACCCCTGTGACGTCCGCTCACCCCTGTGACATCATTTCACCCCTGTGATGTCTGCTCACCCCTGTGACGTCATCTCACCCCTGTGACATCATTTCACCCCTGTGACGTCTGCTCACCCCTGTGACGTCATTTCACCCCTGTGACATCTGCTCGCCCCTGTGACGTCCGCTCACCCCTGTGACGTCCGCTCACCCCCTTGACGTCTGCTCACCCGTGACGTCATCTCACCCCTGTGACATCATTTCACCCCTGTGACGTCATCTCACCCCTGTGACGTCTGCTCACCCCTGTGACGTCCGCTCACCCCTGTGACGTCATCTCACCCCTGTGACGTCATTTCACCCCTGTGACGTCATCTCACCCCTGTGACGTCTGCTCACCCCTGTGACATCATTTCACCCCTGTGACATCTGCTCGCCCCTGTGACGTCCGCTCACCCCTGTGACGTCCGCTCACCGCTGTGACGTCTGCTCACCCCCGTGATGTCTGCTCACCCCTGTGACATCATCTCACCCCTGTGACGTCATCTCACCCCTGTGACGTCTGCTCACCGCTGTGACGTTACAGGCTGCTTCCCACTCATCTGAATTGGCCACGATGTTTGCGTCTCCCAGAAGCATACTTACCTTGCTCACATTCAGTGTGCTTTTCTTTACATTTTTCACTTTAAGCAACACAGATAGTAGCCTTGCTATATTTATTCACAGCAATCTTAACCAGTACTAAAATGTTGGTTCTTTTTTCTAGTTTACTTTGTGCATATGCTATTTTGAGCCCACCTTTAAGGTTTTTTAGTAACATGTCTGTTGATGCAGTGATTACACTTTGTTAGTGGTTTATCGGTTTTCCATTCTTTAAGCTTCAGCAGATCCTTCAGACTTTTCAGCAGCCTCCAAAACCACAGTCTCCCGCCATTGACAATGCTGTGATGGCTCAGGTGCAGGCCATCACCGCTCAGTTAAAGACCACGCCGGCGCCGGCGCCAGAGCAGAAGGCCACGGCGTTTGACAAGGTACGCTTCCCACCGCACTGTGTGTCCCTCCCTCCCTGGACGTTGGAGCTGGCCCTCCTAGCCCCTCTGTGTCTGTTGCTTTTCTTACTCTGCTTCCAGGTGTCCCCACAACATCCAACAGTGTTTTAATTCCGGCTACAATTTTTTAAAAAAAATATTTTTTATTGATTTTACACAGAGAGAAATTGAGAGGGATAGAGAGTTAGAAACGTTGACGAGAGAGAAACATCGACCAGCTGCCTCTTGCACACCCCCCACTGGGGATGTGCCCGCAACCAAGGTACATGCCCTTGACTAGAATCGAACCCAGGACCTTTCATTCCGCAGGCCGACGCTCTATCCACTGAGCCAAATCGATCTCGGCAAATTCTGGCTACAAATTTAATATGTATACTCATTGCAACCTTTTTCAGGAAATAAATGAAAAAACATAAAAGCGAACAGTGTAAAGGAAAGGAAACAGACCGTGTACCATTAACCCCACACTTGGAGTAGCTGCCGTATCATCGTGCTGAGCGGCTTAGAATTTACGTCTGGGGCTGGATGGCTTGCAGCTCATTGCTTTGATCTTACTCGTCTTACCTCACCGTTTTGTGGGTGCTGCGCAGTTATAGATTTGGGTCTACATTTCCGCTTGTTAGGGTAGTCCGTTACCTGGACACATCCCGTTTAGCTGCCCCCTGTCGGTAGACGCTGACAGTGCTTCCTGGGCTCGGTGTTAAAACACGCTGTCACCACGTCGGTCCGAGGGTGTCGGTTGTGCAGGTCCTCGTGCTCTGTTGGCCACGCATCTTCCGGGGCAGCGCTCAGCGTGTGATGTGCCGAGTGCACAGCTCGAGCTCGGGCTGACATGTTAACCAG